TCGTGGGGCCTGAACTCTGGGCCTGGGCGCTGTCCCTCAGCTCTTCAGTTCAAGGCTAGTGCTCTACCACTTGAGCCACAGCACCACTTGCAGCTTTTTTCTTTTTTCTTATGTGGTGCTAAGGAATCGAACCCAGGGCCTTAGGCATGCAAGGCAAGCGCTCTACCACCGAGCCACCTTCCCAGCCCCTGAGATTCTTATTTCCAATGAACCACCAGAAAACTGGAAGTGGTGCTGTGGTTCAAGTGGTAGAGTGTTAGCCTTGAGCTAAAAGCTCAGGGACAGTGCCCAGGCCCAGAGCTCAAGACCCAGCACTGGCAAAAAAAAAAAAAAATTAGTAGTTTCAGCTAGACTCTGTGGCTTATTGCTAGCTAGCCAGGAAGCTGAGATCTGAGGATCATGGTTTGAAGCCAGCCTGGACAGGAAAGTTCATCAAACTCTTAAATAATCAACTTAGAAAAAGCCAGAAGTGAAGTAATAGATCTAGTAGTAGAGCACTAGTCTTTAGCAAAAGAAGCCCAAGGATAGTGTCAAAGCCAAGTTCAAGCCCCAGGACCAGGAAAACAAAAGCAAAAAAAACAAAAAACAAAAAACTAAAAAACCAGCTTCAGTTGAGACTGAAAGCAAATGCTTTACTTCTCTCCTCTGATTTACAGGCTAGCAAAAATGGAAATTAGACAATAGAGCATTTCAAATCTTTCTTTTCAATAAATTCATAATAGTGCAAGGTTGCAGACAGGTTGCCTATAAAGAGGCAGTGTCGTGTGACACACCGTATTTTGCTTTAAATGGCTAACACTTTTTTTCTTTGGCAACAATTAACTGGAAACCTCTTTAACTGAGCATATGTTCCTTATTTTTCTACTAATGGATGTTTGTGGCACAGAAACCGTAGAAATGCCATGAAGTCATATAAAAAGTCAAGCACCTGGTAGCACTAGTGGCTGACACTATAATCTTAGCTATTCAGGAGACCAAGAGCTGAGAATTGAGATTTGAAGCCAGCCCTGGCAGGAAAGTCCTTGAGACTTATCTCCAATTAACCACCAAAACAAATAAACAAACAAAATGATAGAGAGCTAGCTGTGAGCAAAAGAGCTTAGAAAGAGCACCCAAGTCTTGAATTTAAGCCCCAGGACCCAACCAGCATTAAAAAAGAAAAAGATCAAGCAAAGCTTATTGGGCCTTCAGCTAGCAAGCAGAAGGGAGCCAGGGCTGACAAAAGTGATAAAGTTTTCTAGTTGACTTTTCTGGAGTGGGCTATAGTTCCTTGTCCATAAACAGTTTTCCTCCTTGTGTATAAGCATTCTCAGATGAATAACTAGCTGATTTAACCCAGGAACTAATGAGTAACATTTAATAGCTGGTATTATCATCACCTTGCATAAACACCCTGGCTTCTTGGTTTTAGCCTTTAGAAAAGGCTAAAGCATGCTTGGTGCTTGAGCAGCCGTCAGAAGCACAAGGATAGAATAGAAGAAATGTACAAGAATTCCAAGGACAGGAGGCTAATCTTGAATTACCTGCTTAGACAAAACATTTTTTCAAACCCATAGTATGTCTACAGCAAAGCTGAGTAGAGGGGGAGAGGGAGAAGGAATCAAGGTGGTTTTACTGGGGGAACTAACACATTCTCATATAGAAAAAGCTCAGCATCCCATGTGGAGACAGGCATGTTCCTGAGGATATAGTCTTAGAGGTCACACATTGCATGTACCCCTTCCCTTCCCCAAAAAATTGCAACTGGGACTGCCTCTAGGCAGAAAGTTTAGAATTACATTGAGTAACATTTACTCTAGGTCACTTAAAAAGAGTGAGTCTAGGAAGAAACAGTTTGGAGTGATTCCTTGTTGTTTCTCTGAAACAAATCCCCTACCCCAAAAAACCCCAAAACTTTGAGGAAATGTTAAGTCACTTAAAGGGGTAGCAGCTTCCCAACATAGAAGACTGTATCTAAAAGTACCTGTTTAAAACAAATCAACAAATAAATAATGGGCTGGGAAGGTGGCTCAGTGGTAGAGTGCATGCCTTGCATACATGAGGTCCTGAGTTTGATTCCTCAGCACCACATAAGCAGAAAAAGCCAGAAGTGGCTGAGATGGTAGAGTGCTAGCTTTGACTGAAGAGCTGAGGGACAACGCCTAGGCCCAGAGTTCAGGTCCCATGACCGAGAAAAAAAAATTTTAATAAGTTGTTTTTTTGTTGTTTTTTTTGTGTGTGGGGGGGGGGTAATCTGGTTGTGGGGCCTAAACTCTGGGCCTGGGCACTGTCCCTCAGCTCTTCAGCTCAAGGCTAGCGCTCTACCACTTGAGCCACAGCGCCACTTCCTTTTTTTTCTGCTTATGTGGTGCTAAGGAATCGAACCCAGGGCCCTCAAGCATGCAAGGCAAGCGCTCTACCACTGAGCCACCTTCCCAGCCCTAAATAACTTTTTTAAAAAATAAAAAATAAAAGTACCTGTTTAATCAACATTATCCTGGCTATATATTTG